TGTTTTCTCTCTGGGTCTGTGTTTCATTTTCCCTTTTCTTACAAGGACATTAGTTATATTGGATTAAGGACCCACTCCAATGACCTCATTTTAACTTTATTACAGCTGCAAAGTCCCTATGACCAGTGAGGCCACCTTCACAGGTATTGGGGATTAGGACTTCAGCATATTGAAGGGTATATTTTGGAGGGTACAATTCAACTCATAAGAACAATTAGATGGCCCAGAGTAGGCCTTCTCATGATCAATAAGAAGGAGCAATTAATGCTGAACATCTAAGATGCACCTTCTCCTGTACATGGCAATATTTCTGAAAGAGTATAGATCATAAGATGCATAAGTACATTGATTCGTGCAGGGTTTTTCCCCTGAATATCTGTTATTAAATAGATGGTTCATCTCACATCTTAGAACTGTACAAGCACAGTATAAGTTGTTTTATAAGAAGACACAAAAAACCTCAACATGTCAATGATTGGTAGGAAAATGGGAATGTGGGTACCCACAGATAATGTCTGCAGATATTAGAAACTTGGAAAGAAATGGCCATTGTTTCTGCAGACACAAGTTGCCTGGTTTGAGGCAAGGGATGAGGAAGAACTGCTTTTTTGTCTGTGCCCTGTGACTGTCCAACATCAGCATTCATTTCATAACCATTGCCTGAGCACCTACTGCATACCGGGATCCAAGGATGCAGGGTCATAGTGGGAAGCATCATGGGACTCTAGAACTGAGTCCTCCAAGTGCAGAGAGCTGAGAGAGCACACGCACAGCTGCCTGTAGGCAGAGTGGGGTGGTGGGAAGGGAAGGGAGGATGGTTGCAGACAACACTGTTCTCCAAAATGGTGCACCTGCCTCCACTCATTGACTTCTGTGCTTTTACAACTGTTGTTTACTCTGCCTGGAACCTCATTTCCTCTTTTCCTACCCTGCAATGTTATTTTTTCTTTCAGATTCAGCTTGGCGGTTCCCACATCCCCAATGCTTATCGTGCACAATGCTGTGTTTTCATTATTCATATCTGTGTGTTCCCAGTGCCTTCAACAGCGCCCGGCACAAAGCAGACACTCTGGAAGATATATGTCAGATGAATGCGACTAAAGGAGCGTAGGTTACAGCCTACCCAAGATGAAAGGATCCATTAGGGGAAGGCAAGATGAGGAAGAGTGCATTTGATTAGTAGGGCAGAGGGCCCCAGAGGAATGTGTCAGAAATCCAATGTGGAAACACAAAGGGAGAAAGACAAGCAGTGAGTGGAGATTCAAGAATGAGAGCAGGTTGGGAACAAGCAGAAAAAGGAATCATGTGGGCAGCTGGTTGGTGACCTTTGGCAAGCATGGGCCTTTTTGTCTGCCCCATGTGCTTGGCCACATGCACTTGACCTGGGCTTTGCATACACCGCACACTGGAGGAATGTGGCACAGCTGGGAAGGCTTCCTGGAAACCCTGGCATCAGGAGAGGTCCAGAGAAGCAGCACAGGGATACCGTGGTGGTTTGCAGGCCCAGGCAAATGCTCCCCATTCTGCCTTCCAACAGGAAATGGCCCCTGCTTCCTTTAGTAGAAAGCTTGCTCCATGAGGGATGATAAACCACCCACTCCCAGGGCTACCCAGGGTGACAGGAGGTCCACTGGGGCCTTGGGATTGTCCTCCCTCCCTCTTCTCTCTCAGTAACTGTAGTTTGATACCTGAGGGAAGACTCCCTGAGGAGGTGGCTCCTTCTGGGCTCTGGAAGGCCATGGGGGTTGCTGCTAGTCCAAGCAGAACTATAGCTACTACCTCTGTGGTCCCTTCGGTTGCCTCCCCACAATCTCTTCCTCCAGTTCTCCAAGCCCCTAAATCTAGCCCTGTATTTAACCAAATCCCTGTCTAGACTCCAGACCTACTCGCCTCCCAGGGAGATCTCAATGTGCATCCAAGTTAGGCTAAAGTTGTCTGAAACAACGGGTTCTGTCAGGAAGGGGGAGATTGCATTCTGCAGGTGGATTAATTCCCAGCATCTTCAGCAATTCTCTAACTGGTGGCATTCAAAGTGTGGACTTTAGGGAACCTAGAGTGGGGAATTCCAGACTGAGAAAGCCTTGCAGGCTGGCACCTCCATGTTTCCTGGCTAAAGAACTTGTCAATCTGACCTCCCAGAAGCTCTTTATAGTCCCATAGACCTTGCAGGGACTGGATCCCAGCGGGCCCTCCCTCCACTGGAGCAAGGGTGAAGCTGGTGTTGAGTTCGAATCTACTAATTCCACACTCTCTCCATTCTACTGCTGCAGCCAGGGAAGGAGCCTTGGTGGTGTGGAGAGCTGTTCCACTGCCATTTTATTCCCCTATGCCACGTCTCCCCAGTCCAAGTGTCTAAATGCACCAGGATTCTCTTCACCAGGGCCTTGCTCTTCAGAGGACAGCCATCCTATATCACCACATTGGAGCTAATGTGAATATTGAATTGGTCAAGCCACCAACTTATCAGAAGGGTGGTACAAATCCAAGTTAGTCTTTAAAACCATGGTCAGATATACACTAATGCTTCTGGAACACTGTAACCTAAGCCCACCCCAAAGTCACAAGAATATGCTTTCTGGCTTATTTGGGGGTCATGCTTTTTCAATCCAGAGCCATTTCTTGCCTTTGAGTGAAGAACACTGGGAGCCCCTAGTAAGATAGCCCTGGAATTTTGTGGCAAGTCAAGAAAAAGATAAAGTCAAACTCTGCTAGTGGAGAAGATGTGGGTGTCATCTTCTCCACTAGTAATACTTACTCTTGATATGTCACCTTTCTTCTGAGAACGTAGAAACATTTCATAAGTGGTAATTAAGCTTCCCAACAATCCTGGTGCCTGCATATGGCCCAGGATCTTTCTCTAATGTCAGGATCACTTGTGGGTCTGTCTACACAGGTCATTGAGGCTTTGGACCTCCATCTAGGGTGGGACACTGAGTGAGGGCTCTGAAGTGAGCAGCGGGTTGTCAGTAGGGTCTTTTGCACTTGCTGGAGAGAGGACCAGATGGACATCTGGTTTCTGGCTTTTTTTTCCCCAGTAGCGTACCGGGCTGGGCTTCTAGAAGCAGTCCAGGTAATTCACCTCTTGAAGACTGGGGATGTAAGGCCTCGGGAAAGTCCAGTTCTTCCTGTATTTCCTCACAGACAGGTTCGTATGTTCCTCTTGGCAATTTACCTTGTCAGAGCTAAAGAACACTCTGACAAGTAATTTGTGCATCAGTGCCCTGTTGCCTTTGCTAGATAGCTTCTAGGGCCTGGTCAACTCTGGAAGAACTGCTAAAACTGAACTTGTGGGCCTGTAGAGTGGTGGTTCAGCTCCAGGACTCCCTGAGATCTCACTAAAATAGCATCTGCCCTCAAGGATCTGGACTCTGAGAAGCCTGCCTGGTCTCTATCTATGAAGCTCTTGAAAGGACAACGGTGCCTGTTATTCAAGTGTCTGAACTGGCAGACCATCTTCTCATGCCTGCTTGGGGCAAGGTCACTGGTAATGAAGATGGTGCTGTCCAATCTGACCACTGGCAAGCATCTCTTTCTAACGGTGTGGGCTTCAGGTTCAGCTAGACCCTGAGTTGCATCTGTGCTCCTCCACCCTTACTTGCTGGCTTGCTCAGGGTCTGTTTTACAAGTTTCTCTGTACCTTAGTTCCTCGTCTGTATTTGAGTGTTTATTGAGAACCTCCTCTGGGCTACACATTGGACTTTACCCAGATGATGGGAAAGGAAGATGGGTGAAAAAGTCTGGGACAGGGTCCTGGTGCTTCAGCAGATGAAAACTTGATTTGGGTTACTCATCCTTAAAATCAGCTCATATAATAATATCCATTACCCAGTGGGTGTTGGGAAGCTTAATTACCACTTATGATATGTTTTTACGTTCTCAGAAGAAAGGTGATACATCAAGGCCAAGTATGACTATAGCAGTTGTGATTCTCTCAAGCTGCCCTTGGGGCTAAACAGTATAAAATTGTCATTTGTGAAACTCTGCTATTGCAACAAAGGATGACTACTATCCATAATGATACTAGACTAATGTTTAAGACATTGCTGTGCTCATGAAAACTTAAATCTGCCCGAAGTGAAGATGGTAAACTAGGTCACCTGCTATGAGCTTGTCCTGCTCTTGGATTCCAAAAGCAAACAAAATCCTCGAGGGGCTGACACCTGAAAGAGTACCAGATAACAACAGCATTCTTTGAACACCTAGCGTGTACCAAGCAGTGTGTTATGCACATGATCTCACTGAATCTTCCTAACACGCTTAGAAAAGAGGATTTTATCTTTCCATTCTCCAGAGGAGAAAAACTGAGACTCAAAGATGTTGACTTGCCCAAGGAAGATGAATCTGGTACCTGTAAGGAGGGCAGCCTGGAGTGGAGGCAGACGTCAGTGTGAAGTGACCACAAAGTTTAGACAGGATCCAAGGAGGCTCTGAATTGGGTTAGAAAAATGAGGATGATTTCCACGTCTCCTGCTTGAATATCCCCCTACGAATAGGCCTGCTGCTAAGGGAAAAAGGGAACCCAGGAGGGGAAGGCGGTTGGGACGGGAAGTGACTTTGGGGCTAGGTAGCTTGAGTTGGGAATAGCCAGCATACCTGGACATGTTGCCTTGGGAATTGGAAGGGAAGTTGGGACCCAAACTTTGGAGTCGTTGACAGATGTCACAGGTGAAGCCTGGGATGACATCGCCAAAACGCAACGTCTCACTCGTTGTCACCACTCCCAGGGCCCAGCTGTCACTGGGGAAAATCTCCAGAAGGTAGCGCGGGCCAAGGTGACAAGTGTCTGCCAAGACCTGTCCGCCAGACTCCTCGGCGGCGCGCTCCCTTCCTGCAGGCCTTCAGCCCGTCAGTATCCCCTTCCTCGGGGCCCTGCTCACTCCCAGCCTCCATCCCCCTGCCATCTCCTCTCCTCGGCGGGTCGCGTGCAGACCCAGGCATGGGGGCCTCTCAGCGCTGTGCGCTCTGGGCGGGGCTCCGGACGCATGCGCGGCCGCCGTACGGAAGCCCGGAAGGAGGGGCAGGGGGCGGTGGTTCAGGTTTCTCCGGGCGGTGGCGGCGGTGGCGGCGGCGGCGGCGGTGGCGGGAGCAGTAGCGGGAGCAGCAGCGGGGACGCGGCTGGAGCTGGCGCCATGAACCTGCTGTAAGGCGCAGGCTGTGCAGCACGGGCTGCGGGGGAGGAGGAGGACGCCGCGGTGAAGTTCTCCGCCATGAACCTGAGGGGCCTCTTCCAGGACTTCAACCCGAGGTGAGGCAGCGTCGTTGGCGTCCCCGGGAGTCCGCGCTGCGGGCTCGGGCAATTGCTGGTGTTCGGCTCCGGGGAGACACGGCGGGCGAGATGCTGCAGCCCGAGGACCCGGGCGCCTGCCCGAACCTCCCTGCGGGTGCAAGCTGTTCCCAGGCAAAGCAGTCGGCCTCGGCGCCCGCCCGCTTCCTCCTCCCGTGCCCGGTGCCTTCAGCCCCTGCCCGGCCGCGAGCCCCGTCTTGCCCCAAGGGAGCCCCATTCCTCTCTGCTTGCTGTCCCTCATTGGTGTCCCAATTTCTTCCTCTCGGTTCCATCCTCTTCTACCCCGCTGCGGGCCCTCCATTCTCCGCGTCAGGGCCGTCTCACTTGACCCAACACCCCTACCCCCACTCCAGCTGTTTCCTCCAGTTCCGCGCAGTCCTTGGGGTTTTCCTTGGGTTTATGCCCATCCCTCTCTTGTTTGCTTCTTTGTTGAACGGATACCTGCAACAGTGTTGAATACTTGGAGTCAGTGTCAGGGTATGGCAATGCCTTATATAATGCATTTCTGGGTAAGCCTGATCATTTTCCATACTCATTTTCTCATCAGTCTTCACTACAAGTTTATTTGCAGGAAGTAGATATTGCTGGCCTTCTTTTCCAGCTGGGGAACACCCAGTGGACAGTGTGGAGAAAACACTGGCTAAGAACTCAAGCGCCTGTCCTTGCACTTGCCCGACTGTTTTGTAACTGTTCTTTCCCCCAGGCTGTGAGCTCCCTGAAGTTGAGACCATCTCCTGCTCATCTCAGTGTCCCCAGCGCCTCCCACCCACCGTATCTGGCATATAAAATGTTTATGGAACTAAACTGAGCCCTAAGACTTGGATTGGAGACCAGGCCGTAGGTAACTGGGTGATTCTCTGCCCTTCTTTGGCCCTTCTGTAAAATAAGGAGTTGGCCTAACTGATCACTTAAGTGCACTGCTCTCCGAAGGGAGTATGCGTTTCCCTTATTTGCTAGTTGGGAAGACATGCGCTCAGTGAACATTTGTGTGCTGTAACCTATGCTAGGTGCTTTAGATGCTGGCGGTCTCAGCATAGGGGTGAAGAAGGGCTTGTACACTTAAGATGCCTTCCAGTACTATGCAGTGCTGTACTATGGGGGCCAACTCTGGGGACCGCTGTCTTGGCTGCTTGTTGAGGATGAAAGGAAGTTTTAGGGAAGTATTTGTATGTTGAGGGTGCAGTCTCCCTAGGGATGGTGACATTTTAACTTGTGAGTCATTGTGACTTTCTATGTGCTCTTATTCCACTTTGAGTTCATGTTCTGGTCTGCAGTGCCAGTGTCTCTAACACAGTGCAGACATTATCATTGCTGGCCTGGAAGGCATAGAGGAGGTAACAGAACTAACTGCAGTCCGTTCCTCTGCTGCATCAAGGGGTTAGGATTGGTCTGCAGGGTAGTAGGGTTGGTGCTGTAGCTGGACAAGCCTTGTGTGTCTTCTATTTGGAGATGGTGATAAGAAGGTTAAGTAAAAACTGAATTGTTTTGTGCCCTTGGGCAACTCACTCATCTATTGTTTTATCTGTAGAATGAGTATAATCTCTCAGCAGGGTAAGGAGGCCAATTAATGATTGATTACAAAGTGCCTTACAAATAGAAAGCTACATGACTTGTTTGCAAGGTGACAGATAATTCAGAAGCCACAAGAAACTGCCTCAAGTGATCAAACAGGCTAACAGAGTTACCAAAGCAAAATAGTGCTGCACTGATATTACCTTTAACCATTTTTTCCTTTAGCCCTTTCCCCCCAAAAAAAATTAGTATATGAAATTACAATGAAATACCTGGTATCTAAGCAGATTTATAGTAATTATCAACATATTTATCAATATCTTAATTCTACCTGGATTAAAATGTATTTCTGCCTGAAAAGTTTAAAGGTCTTTTATACTGTGCCATTTTCCTGATTCATTGTTGCCAGAGGTAGTGAGTTCCTTAATTTTACAGATATTTCAAGGGGACATTGGCCAGGTATTATTGGTAAATCAGATTTGTTTTTTTAGCTGGTAGTGTTTCATGTCTCCTGAGCACTCCTAGTTTTTGACAATGTGCTGTAAGTCCCCTTGAATGCTGAGGAAGGCCTTCCCAATAGCTAGAAAGAAAACTGAGGGGTGTACACAGGAAGTTACCTTATGCTGGGGATTCAAACCTTGATGCTACTGCTTTGCCCCCTGCCTCGAATTTTGTATTCATTCAATATCTCCCTCCTACCCCAGAACCTTGTCACCTACTGTTCTCTTTACCAGGAATGTTTCCCTCTCTTTTCCTCTCCTCTAGACCTAGTGAACTGCTATTTATCCTCACTTGGCACTTGCTAAGGGAAGCTCTCCTGACTTCCCTGACCAGATTTACTGCTCCCTGTTTCTACGGTTCCTGTAGTATTTACTACTCCTCCATCATAGTACGTATTTGTACCCTTGTGTCTGTCTGGATTCTTATTTGATTAATACTTGCCTCCCCACTAAACTTTAAGTTCTATGGGGTCAAGGTTGTGACTGTGTCAGTATTGTAGCCTACATACTTGGAATAGTACCTGGCTCAATAAATATTTTTTGAATAAATAAGTAGATAACTCTCCAGAGCCTATAAGAGAAATCTAGAGCTGCTGCCTTCAATCACTGCTTTCCTGGTGGTCTGTGGCCTGGTTCTCTTTCTTCTCACACTCTTCCCACCTTCAGAGTGCAGCCATTCCATTGGAGAGATGGGAAATAACATGGCACTAAGGCAGAATATGGCTATATTTACTTTGAAGAGTATGTCTTTGTTACAGAAATAGTCACTGTCATGGTTTGGTGGGTCCCAAGGCATGGGTCATGGCTCCAGATCCCCTTTCCAACCTTTTCGATCTTGGTAAGTCTGAACCCATTGCCGTGTTGGCAAGGCTCTGGAAACTGCAGTGACAGAGAATGATTCACGGGTGTCAACACTCAGATGTACAGGGCTGCCAGCTGACCCACTCTGCCTATTTCCATCTGGCACAGAACTGGTTGATCATGAACTTCTTTTCATAATTGCTTTTTAGTTATGCAGGTTAACACATGCTGAAACAGATGTACTGGACCCACAAACAAGTCCTTCCTTGAATGCCTGAGGCTTCCTAACAGTGAAAGAGCCCTGTTCTTAGAATAGGCAAACTGATTCTGAGGCATTTTGGGTGGTAGGGATCTGGTAGTAGGTAGCATTAGGTGGGCTCCCTGTACTCACCACGGAGCCTTGAAATTTTCTGCTACTTTGGGGGAGTTGCTGGTTCAGAGAAGGCTCTTCCACCCTCGCAGCCATGTGGCACTGGAAGGCTGTGAGAACTCTACTGGGCCTTCTTAGTCATCTGTGTGGTGAGCTCCTGATGAGAGTGTGGTATATCCCTCAGGTGGGCTAGACTGGAACAAAGGCTGAGAAATGTTGCTCCATGGGTTCCGTCATGTGGGCATGGGGTACTGATGAGATCAGTAGTGTTTGGAAACTTCTATATGCTGCATCTTCAAAAGACATTCTGTAGTCCATATAAGTTATCTTGTACCTTGTTTGAAGTCAGGAAAAAGTAATGCGATTGCTGGTAATATAGTTCACTAAAGGCAGCTACCTGGCCTCTAATAGTTATTTGCAAAGTATATTTAGAACATTGATTCATCAAACATCTCCTAGGTTCCTATCTCATGCCAAGCGATGTACTAGGTGCTCTAAGTACAAAAATAAATGGAATATAGTCCTCCTCTCAATGCATAAGCCTAGTGGAAGAAGCAGAAATGAAAGGGAAATAAGAATTCAATAGAGTATGAGGCATTACAGAGAAAGAAAACAAATGTCTTGGAAGTACAAATGGCAGAGCCACTAGTTCTGTCTCGAGCAGGCAGGGAAGAGTCTATAATGGAAATAACTTTTGAGCTAGGTTTTGAATTGAGCTAGTCTTTTGAGCCAGACTTTTGAGCTAAAATTGTAGAGTTGTCATCAGACCAGAGAGTTGGAAGGGTATCTTGTGGGGAAAAGAAAGATCAGATTGTTACTGTATCTATGTAGAAAAGGAAGACAAGAAACTCCATTTTGATCTGTACTAAGAAAAATTGTTTCTGCTTTGAGATGCTGTTCACCTGTAACTGTAGCCCCAACCCTGTGCTCACAGAAACATGTGCTGTAATGAATCAAGGTTTAATGGATTTAGGGCTGTGCAGGATGTACCTTGTTAACAATGTGTTTGCAGGCAGTATGCTTGGTAAAAGTCATCGCCATTCTCCATTCTCGATTAACCAGGGACACAGTGCACTACGGACAGCCGCAGGGACCTCTGCCCAAGAAAACCTGGGTATTGTTCAAGGTTTTCCCACACTGAGACAGCCTGAGATATGACCTCATGGGAAAGGAAGGGCCTTATGACACCCATAAAGGGTCTGTGCTGAGGAGGAGTAGTGAAAGAGGGAGGCTTCTTTGCAGTTGAGATAAGAGGAAGGCTTCCGTCTCCTGCTTGTCCCTGGGAATGGAATGTCTGGGTGTAAAGCTGACCATTCCCATTCGTTCTATTTGGAGATAGGAGAAAACCGCCCTGTGGCTGGAGGCAAGATATGCTGGCAGCAATACTGCTCTGTTACTCTTTGCTACACTGAGATGTTTGGGTAAAGAGAAACATAAATCTAGCCTATGTGCACATCCGGGCACAATACCTTTCCTTGGACTTATTCATGATACAGATTCCTTTGCTCACATGTTTCCCTGCTGACCTTCTCCCCAGCTGTTGCCCTGCTACACTCCCCTTGCTAAGATAGTAAACATAATGATCAGTAAATACTGAGGGAACTCAGAGGCTAGTGCTGGTGCGGGTCCTCCATATGCTGAGCACCAGTCCCTTGGGCCCACTGTTCTTTCTCTATACTTTGTCTCTGCGTCTTGTTTCTTTTCTCAGTCTCTTGTCCCACCTGATGAGAAATACCCGTAGGTGTGGAGGGGCTGGCCCCTTTCTGTATCTCAGAAGG